CGCCGCCCCTCCGTCTCAGCTCGGGGACCCGCCCTGCGTGTCCGGCGGATCCGGGTACCCGGCCAGCCCCGGTCCTGGCCCCGGGCCCGCTGGTTAACGCTTAACCCCGCCCGGGAGTCAGGCTCCGGCCGCGCCCCTTGCCCCCAACCTTTGGCCCCGCCGGCCCGAGCGAGGAGTGGTTGGAGACCCGGCTGGGCTGGGGGTCCGAGTTCCGCCCACCCGCCCCCAGGCGCTCTAAGCGGGGCCGGGGGGTCGTGGTCGCCGACAGCGCCTACCTGAGCGCCCTGGTGGGCCGGGACTGCCGAGGGCGGGCGGGGCTGCGCCCTCCCGCGTAGCTCGCAGCTCCCGGGTCAGTTCTCCTGGTGCTCGCTCGAGGCCGGGCGCCACTACAGCGGTGTCCGGTGTCCCAGAGGCAAGAGATTAGCGCCAGGGGCGGGGTGGGAGAGATTGCCCTGCAGGCAAGGCTGCATTCCAGGTGGGGGGGCGTGGAGGAGGGGCCGAAAGGGGGAGGTCCTAGGGGAAGGGGCCCCGAGGAGGGTGCCGGCTGGGGAGTCGGGCTTTGTCTCGGGCCACCGAGCGTTCCAGGCCCCCCACTGCCCCTGGGCCAACCGGGCACTTGTGCCGGCTGGGGTGGGACTGGCCCCAGAGTGTAGATGGAAATCCACATGCGTGAGGAGAGGGCAGGGAGGGGTCAGTGGGCACTGCTACCGTGCGCTCACAGGTAGAACCCGCGGGTGGGAGCACAGACTGCCACAGAGGGAGGAGGGGGGAGGCAGGCCAGGGGAGAGACCTGTACCCAAGTGCTCAAGGAGTTTGGACTTTCTCCCAAGGACAGTGTGGCACTAGAGAGGGTTAGATGCCTCCCAGACCTGCTCTGGTGAGGGCTTCAGAGAGCACCCTGGGCACCAGATGGCATGGATGGCAGGAGCCTGACCAGGGCCAGGGTCCTGTCAGGTGTCCAACAAGAGGCCCTGGGCTGAAACAGGCAGGGCGGGGTCGGGGGGGCAGGTTTGGGAGGGTCTGGAAGGGAGAGTGGACAGAGGGGGTGAGTGGGTGTTCTCCTTGTGCCTGTCCGGCTGCTTCCTCCCTCAGGACAGCATCAGTTACTCCCCCCCCACCCCATACACACACACTGGCCTCCAGGTGAGCTTTGTCACCAGGGGGGTGGGAGAAGCCAGTCTGGGAGTGTCCCAGCTCCCTTCCTGCTGGGCGCAGGCTGGTCCTTTTTCTGAAACCCCAGCTCCCGCTCAGTGCCCTTTCCCCCCTTCTTGGGCCTTCAGCATCCGTGCTGGCCTTGCCCACCCTTGGGTAAATGGCCCATCACAAAAGCTGTTCATCTTTCTCCTACCAGGATCTGATTCTGGCCAAGGTGAGGGAGTGGGCAGCCAAGGCTGGTGCCCACGTCCTCCTGAGTCCTGCCTGGACTCAGTGGCTGCCACTGGGCAGGGAACCCAGGCCAGACGAGCAGGTGTGGGAGTGCTGCCTGGAAGGGCAGAGAGGCCTGGGGAGGCACTGGGAGCCCCGGACAGAGCTAGGGGGGCAGTATTAGGCAGTGTGCGGGAGTCTGGGGCCGCTGTGAAAAGCCCCACAAACGGGGGGCTAAGAACAGAAATGTATTCTCTCAGTCCTGGAGGCCGGGAGTCTGAGATCCAGGTGTTGGCAAGGCCGTGTTCCCTCTAAAGACTCTGGGAGAAGGTCCTCCTTGTCTCCCAGCTTCTGGTGCCCCAGGCGCTCCTTGGCTTGTAGATATACCTGCTTATGGCTGTGTTTCCTCTGTGGGTCTCTTCTCTCTTACACGACACCACTCAAACGGGGTTAGGGC